TTTACATCATTTTTATAAGCATAAATTTTAAAGAGAAGTTAGATTCACTTGGTATTGTTTGGCTTGTATCTACCCACTGAGGTTTAAGACTTCAATTGGTCAGTCTGTTATTGGGATATGTGCATACTGTGCATGTGCCTCGATACTGCCTTGATTCACAGGCGTTTTGTAAGCAATGATGGATGGTGGCTAGCAGTGGAATCCAGGATGCGCGTTTCGTCCTATTTGGCACTGGTTAGCTGGATGTACCTGCATCTCAGAGTTGATGTTCACTGAGTATTGTTCCCTTCAAAACATATCGCGTTACCCAATTCACTACTGAGTCCGGATAGCCCCTAGCTTCTATAATACCACATAGCGAATATTAGAACATTTTGTCTTTTATGTGTCATAAACAGATGACTGCAATTAAGTAAAGTAGGATAATGATGATGATGATGATTATGATAGCAGTAATGCTCTGATAATAATGATAACGCAATAAATATTCCACTTGACAAACCAATTTACGATTTATGTTGATTTTATAATCTTTGAAAATAAATAAATGACTTTATTTTTCATTCCTATCTTTAATAACTTAAGTATCAAAGGAAATGATAATTTTAACCATATCTATGTTTTCCATGAGAGATGATGAGATAAGTAGAAAAAACAAACATTGATGAAGGGAATTTTATGAAAAAGAGAATATGTCATGCGTATAATAAAATTATTCATTTATAATAGAGGATATGAAATCATATTAAACTGAGTCGTGGTAAACATTCTATCATTTAGACCGCAAGCAACTACAGTGAAACAAATCGTGTGCAGTTTACTTCATTAAGAAACAGAATAGAAACTTTTTCCAAGATGTTGATTATAGTCCCGTAAGACAATGTATTAATAAGCTATTGTTCAAAATATTTTCTTTAAGTACAAGTTATAGGATTTATAAACCCTGTCACCCCCTGAATGTAATGTGGTTACCTAATTTGTTAAATCAATTCATATTGCTTGTAATTTTTTTAAAGTAGTGACATGTTGAAAAGCACTTCGGATGTAAATGTTCTAAAATATGATACTTTTATTGTGTCGTTCGATAAAAATTGAATAAGATGTTATATGTCTGCAGTACTAAAAAATTACACCTTTAACTATATTTGATTCTTTTGAGTAACGTAACGTACGCAAATCATCAAACTGCATCACGAGGCAAGCTCTAACATGGAACCCTGAAGGGAAAGGGAAAAGAGGAAGGCCAAAGAACACATTACGTCGGTAAATAGAATCAGATATGGAAAGGATGAATGACAACTGGAAGTAGCTGGAAAGGATTACCCATGACAGGGTTGTGTGGAGAATGCTGGTGAGCGGCCTATACTCCTTCACAAGGAGTAGCAGGCGTAAGTAAGTAAGTAAGTAATGAGAAAGGTGTTAATTAATTTTAAACATATGCTCACTAACGACTACCATCAAGACCTATCATCAAAAGTCTTGTGAGAAATCGTAATTGTAGAATTAAATACACGTAGAAATTCAAGTGTCTGTTCATCATTAGCATAGATTATGTCATGCTTTTTGACAAGGTCACTGAATTTCAACTCTCTGGTTTGAGGGCAAAGCGTTTGTATCGAAATCTATCACAGTAAAACTCTAGTGGGTGAATATGAGTGAAAGAAGTTATACTTTGAAAACAACATTGAAGTAAGTTTGATATAAATACAATTTGAATATATTCTAAAGAGACATTTATTCATTTACCAAACGACGTTTGCCAAGAGTTCTATTTACTTACTTATTCACGCCTGTTACTACCAATGGAGCATAGGCCGCCGAAGAGGGTTCTATACTAAACTAAAAATTATGGTACTACATTAAGTTAATATTATTGGGTAGTTACCTTTTTATTGAAATTATGTACTCAAAACTTTACAGATTTTATTAAATTTTGAAATAGAAGGTAAATTCTAGATGTTTCCTTTTTAATATAGCAGTAAAAATAATTAACGGCTGATAGAATCAATCAACAGAAGCTAACAAATTGTAATATGGAGATAATCTGTACTCCTCGATGTGTATTCTTAAGTTATTCTGTTCAATTGTTGTACATATCAACCGTGATTATTGAGAAACATATGGCATAATTGAAATTTCTATTATCATATTTTTTTGAAAACCTTTTTTTGTTTACTCTACGGAGACCTTAAAAATATATAAATAATAGAAAATGATACAACATTTTTCTATTTAATAATCTGAAATCTAACACAGTAAAACGGGTATGTTTTGATGGTTACAAGTACTAACACAAACATTTGTACATCAATGAACGACAATAATATAAATAAGACAGATATAAAGTTAGATAAATGGTGATCAGAAGGCTTTGAAATTCTTAAAACAGACTGAAAAATAATCTCGATAAAACAATGAGAAGACGGAGTTGATCTGAAAAATGTAATGTATTTGCGCTATGCATTTCGTTTGTGACTAATGTTGAGTAATGAGCTCAGTTAATTATGTTACTTCATTCTTTATTTACACAGCAGATTGAATTTTTACCAAAATCTATTTTCTAATAGTTTGGCACAGATCCCCATATTTCCCTGAAATCATTTCAAATGATCTCCATCACGTTCACTGCAGCATAAATTTCTCAATAATCTGATTAGCTACATTTTGTCGCCATTGATACAGTGCGACTGATATTTGAAAATAAAATGAAATTTATTTTCGTTAATTTGAAATTACTTACTTACTTACTTACGCCTGTTACTCCTCGTGAAGGAGTATAGGCCACTCACCAGCATTCTCCATACAACCCTATCATGGGCAATCCTCTCCATCTACTTCCAGTTGTCATTCATCCTTTCCATATCTGATTCTGTTTACCGACGTAATGTGTTCTTTGGCCTTCCTCTTTTCCCTTTCCCTTCAGGGTTCCATGTTAGAGCTTGCCACGTGATGCAGTTTGATGATTTGCGTAGTGTATGCCTTATCCATTTCCATCGTCTTTTCCTAATTTCTTCTTCAGCTGGAAGTTTGTTTGTTCTCTCTCACTGTAGGCTGTTGTTGATAGCATCCGGCCAATGGATGTTAAGTATCTTGCGTAGACAGCTATTTATAAATACTTGTACCTTCTTGATGGTGGTTGTTTCAGCTCTGTACATTTGAACTGCCTTGACGTTGGTATTAGTAGTTCTAAAATATGTTCTCATTTTATTGTTTACTTCAACATCAAAGTATAGGGTAGATGGGAATCATTATTCTTCTAATTTCTAATATTCTTTTATTTATGATGATTCCATCATATCAAACCATAAATATTTCAACAAAGAACGTACATTTTAACAATTTAGCAATTAGAAATTCAAATTAATGATCAAAAGGAACGGGAAATTTATCTTTCAAATTACAATATATGAATTCAGAATTGTTTGTACTAATAAATTACTAGTGTTTTTAAATGTTGTATTGTGCAGTTAATACTGTTTTATAGTCTAATTTAAAGTAATTAAACGTAATATAAATTAGGATAAATTATGATACCGCCATTTATCCCATTGTTTGTTCGCATAAAGATTACATAATTCTGGAAATGTTTTAAATTAAGTAAGAAACAGTGAAATGAGAGAAGGATTTAATAAACTATTTAAACGTACAATTAAAAAATAGTGAAAGTTATGAAAACATTTAAGGGTTTTATTGCAATGTGTTATCATTCGGAAGAATATTGGGAAATACAAGATAATGATTTGACTGTACTTCTTTTGAATTCACTGCTTTGTATTGTTAATCATAATCATTACCATTCTAATATAAATGAAATCAGGTAAAGCGCTTTGATTTCTATTTAAAAAGAACGTTTAAATATTCTCAAAGATATTGTAATAGTTAAGAAAGAGCTTCTACATGAACACTAATTTGCAGACACGGTCTGTGATAGAATTTATTTTTTAAAACAATGAAACAAGCAAACATTTGTATTATGGGCAGCAAATACTTACAATCACATTACTGAGAAATAAAACTTCATAAAAGAAACCCATTTGTTATTTACTTATACATAATGTGTTTAAGACCACTGAATGGCATCAGAGTCCCAACCTTCAACATCTAATCGATTCAAACCACTTCACTTATCCATAGGTTCATTTTGAGCTTGTTCGTATAATTTATCCAAATCTATCTAGATTTCCTAATATCCTACTCCTCAAAACAACAGAAGCTCTTATTATCCACGAGACCAAAACAGAACTGTGTGTTCAAAACAAGTTCGTCACATCCTTATCGTTACCAAGACCTTGAACTATTATTATTATAATATTTCGTAATTGAAAATATCCACCTCTCTCTTCAATTATTTCCCATATACCCATGATTTCGTTCATAATTGTCTTCGATGTCACTTCATTTCATCTAATCACTATACTATCTTTAAAGTATCGGAACAGCATTGTTTTAATTATTTATTATTATTGTTTTAGATTATCTTCACTTACATTATAATTCGTTGTTGACTTATAAAATTTACAAAACTTTTCATTTTTATAAAGACAATGTTTTATTGCTATCATCTACATTACACCATGTAGTAATATAATATTTCTATTACGCCATCATGTCCTCACGGAATCGCTACTTAAAGAATTTTCAGATATGTATATACAACTGTACATCTTGATAATAAATCCATTGGAAAGTGATTCCTACGTTGAACTTTTTCTATATGTTTTAAATGGGAATTTTTTTTTCTGTAGAATCTTATTCAAAAATTGTCACAAATCAAATGAAGGTGATTTCATAACTTTTGATGCTTAGTATTTTGTAAAAACATTTGTTTGTAAAACTGATAAAATGGAGAATTATTTATTTCAATATCTTTACAAAATCATTCATTCGCATGTTGACATAGCACTGATGTTCAATCAACCAATCAGAATGCAGATCAAACCAACCAATGAAAATAAACTTTATACTGTTGTATTTTAAGTGTAATTCAATTAAATAAGATAATTCCACCTTTTGGAAAGTTTTCAGTTCTCAATGCATAAAGTATTCGTCTACATTATTCATTAGAATACACACAGTTAAATAAAAGTCCTATCTCATTTAAAATAGAAAAGTCAGTGTTCGGATATATTGGTTCATTCAAAGATCCTGAGTAAATTTGCAGCGTAATACTGTGACTACATAAAAGTGATGGTCAAATAAATATGTGGGTAAATGTTATATCGAAGAGATTTATTAAAATGGAATTTAACATTTACATTATATCAACATTTATATGCAACTTAATTTTTGTACAATCAAATATGACACCAAATGAGTAAGTTGATTTGTATGCGTTATTGAATTATATTCATATTTCCCAAAGATATTTTTTTCAAGTTTTATATTGAGTAACATAGTCTTTAAAGTCGATACAGTTCATTTTATAATCACAGTACTGAATTTATTCACATAGAGACTAATTCAAATGAAAATTTAATTTTTTTAGAGCTCGTTTGCATGTAAATCAAATAGATTGAATGTTCTACCTTAAAATCGTTCATGATTTTGATCTTCTAAGCTTCCATCTAATATTTTAAGTGACATTTTAAGTAATACTTAGATTATTATTGTTCATATTAAATCGATTTCTGGACGTTTTAGGCATTCATTTTCTCAACTAGTTATCCGAATAGTAAATGAAATGTTTCACAAATTTTTACTTGACCAAGATTTCATTTGCATTATTATTTAAGGAATAGTGCTTTGGTTTTATCAAGAGAAAATATTTATAATAACCTACACCATCTATAAAGATTGGCTGCTTTTACATTTGTTTCTAAAATACCCACTTGTTGTCAAGGTATCTTCATATTTTGGTTCTTATATTACTCATAATAATGTTACTTAAATAATGTAAATAAAATTTGTTCCTAGTATAAAACTGTTCATGATTTTTTATTATATGAGCATACTGTATATAAATAGCATTCCAGTACTATTGAGCAAAATATGCCTACAACTAAGGGTATAATATTATTACTTCATTCAATGAACGTAAGATAATTGCTACACAAGAAAAAGTAACCAGTAGTTTCACAAATATGATCATTAAAGCGACTAAAGGATCTAAGTATGATTGTTTTAAGTGACTATGTACATTTAGAGTGGAAACAACAACAACAATAAATACTTGATTTTTATCAAGCTTTACGACTACATGTACACAATAATCAAGTTTTTTCTGTACAAATTAAAATTAGTTGAATAAACTGAGAATCTATACAAACAATCCACTGAATCATAACGCCACAAAATCTTATTCTTTCTATAAGATGTAATATGTTTCTCTCCCCTTTGTTACCTTTTTTACCTGAACTTTCATTTAGTTGACCTTGATTAATTTTCATAGAAAAATACCCTGAGAATTATATGTGTAATCAGATTGTTGGAAATGTATAGCTCAAATACATCACATCTTTTCAGATCATCTCCGTCTTCTCATAGTTCTATCGAAATTTATAAAGAGAACTAATGGTTTTAAAATATTTATATTTACAATTTATTAAGTTTATTGTGTTCAAACAACTTTCGACAATAACTAATCTCAAATTAGTATAGCAAGAATATTTATTGTTGTTTATGAGCATTTTATATTTGACTTCCCATTGTGATACTAAATCTATATTTGATCCAAAATTGTTTTTAGGAACATATGAATAGCAAATCAATGGGATACATTAGTGTGTAATGTATGTGATGTAAGCTGATATGTTACCATATCAAAAAGAAAACAAACCCAAAATTAATAGTGTTCTTCAAAATATATGTCTATAATGAATACAATTAAATTCAACAAAGAAAGTAATCCATAGTTAATATCGAATTATCGATTTCATACCATAGATGAAATATTCATTTTGAAAGTAAATAGTAGTACTAATTTTCTTTAAGAAAACTAAAGTTTATTTATATTATTGTGACTAAGCAGTGGATCTCTTTTAATTTGTCAATTATTCATTGTATATGTGTAGTAAATGAACATTCAGGTGGGGATAACCAATTTATAGCGCATTTATAAGGTATAAAAATCATACATTAAAAATTTTATCTGCAAATCTTTCATCAGTTGTCCTTTAAATTCTTTATGATACTTACAATTTTGTTTTTATTTTAATTCCTCTATGTTTCTTTTTTCGATTCTCTTCAATTTGATCTTCTCAATCCTCTTTTGATGGGAATTTTGCTTCTGATTTGTGTTACCTACTACTTATATCTATCAACATAAGTAGCATACACCACATATTTACATTATTCAGTTTGTTTAGTATAGTCAAATTATGATTGTAATAATTCACAAAAAGTAAATCAAATTAGATATGATTTAGTCCGAACAAAGATATATGAATCATTGTCAAGTGTTATAATTAGGTATATATACGTACAGCGTTATATGCAACGAGAATACCAACAGTTGTATGTCAATATTCAATCATAACTTTGTTTGATGTTGTAAATCAATACAATGAAAATAGAGCTGAATAAATGAGAAAAAGAATACAAATATTCAAAATACAAAGACATGATAAATAATAATTTATGGATAAGTAAACACTTCATCTATGGGAAATTTACACTGAAAAAATCACTTAAATATACAATCTCGAGGTGTTAACAAGATAAAAATGGATAGTGGCTGGCACTGGGATCCAGGATGCGCGTTCCGTCCTATATGGGAATCGTCAGTTGGATGTGCCTGCATCTCAGACTTGATGTTCACTCTAGGACTCGAACCCAGTACCGTTCGCTTCAAACACCATCGCCTTATCCACTTAACTACTGAGTCTTGATAGCTTCTTGCTTATGCAACAGGCTGGAGTTTAAATTCACTTGGTATGGTTCACTTGAATCTTTCAATAGGATGAAACGCACGTCCTGGATTCTATTGCTAGCCATCTTTGTTTATAATGCTTTTGAATTAAGGCAGTATCATGGCAACACGCACAGTATGCACATATGTCAATAAGAGACTGATCAGTTGCAGTCCTAAACATCAATGGGAAAATTCCAACAAATAATACCAAGTGAATTTATGCTAACAATATAATTTTCACTGAAATAAGCCCAAAAATTAATTGATTGTTTTCATGTGAGAAAGATGATTTTAGTCAGACTCTAAATTCGTGTTGCCATAGAATTGTGAACTTCGTCTGTCACTAATGTTAAGTAGAAAACTAACAATTTTATTTCAGTTCTTATGCGACACTGGTGGACATTAGAATCTGAAGTCCAATCTTTAGACTCTCTCTTTAACTGACAATATGTATGACTTACATATATGTGTATGTTTATACATATATTATCAGGATAACTTTTGAAGTACTCAAAACAGTTATTCTCTTCAATGCAATGAGAAAACAAAGTTTTCCGAACTCGACACAATCTTAACTCAACCCCTTGTGGTTTTGTTTAAGAGTTGTTTAGGATGAGCACTTTACTTTTGCTGATGCCTTGTCCACATAAAAATCAAAATCTCCTTTTGTCTGTTATGTAAATGAATAACTGTCAGTTAAATAATGCCAACTAAACTTCTAATTTCTTTCATTTTCTTAACCTATAAAATTCACTTTATAAGAAAGATGATTTGAATTATTATAATAAACTGCTTTGAAGTTTGTTCATCTCGATTATCCCTCAACTAAGCGTCAATTTTTCACTATAAAAACGAACATCTACTAGGTTTTCTTAAGAATTTAAATGTTTAAAACAATTAGTCCCTTTGATAAATTTCGATAATGTAATGAGAAGACGAAGTTTATCAACATAATTCTGATAAACTTTGCCTTCTCATTGCATTATCGAAATTTACATAGTCCTATCAATAATATAACCTCATTTTTCAAACAGACTCAACCAAACATCTACAACTATCAGGTAAGTAATTCTAGACTATTTATTCGTTTATGTTATTTGATTTTATGCTTGATCATTCAAGGAAAATTAGAACTTGAAGGATCTACATTTGTACTAAACTTTCCACTTCAAAAGCATTTTATCTTCAGGAAGTAAGAATTTATGTATGCCGGCTCAGTGGTCTAGTTGGTTAAGCGCCTGGTGCGAGACTGATAGGTCCTGGATTCGAATCTCGTGGGGTGAGGGATCGTGGATGCGCACTGCTGAGGAGTCCCATACTAGGGTGAAACGGTCATCCAGTGCTTCCAGGTTCTCCATGATGATCTAGCTTCGATTGACTCATGATTCCAATCAGTGAAATTTCTAAAATCTCCACAAAGCCCAGTTCAATAATTTATTTTGTTTAAAAGTATTACTACGATGTAGTATGTACATTAAAAATGTCCATCGTTATGTAATTTCAATGAAATATACTTTATGTAAGAACTAAATAATAAATGATGGTTCATTCTAATATTTTTCAACAAAAGTAATCAAGTACATTAAGTAAATTACTCACTGGTTAAATGTCATAAAAGTATGAAGTGACTGAAGTTCAGTACCGTTAAATACCTGTCTGTTTACTCCGGTTTGAAATTAAATTAAATTTTACGTATCCTATTGTTAGACTAAAATGCTCATAATACAAATTTTAAAATACGGAACTGATATTTATAATAGTCTATTAGTGAAAATAGAATTTCTTTGTCGAAAGTGTCAAATTAGACATGACAATTATAATAGATGAAATGAATAGATTAATTTATGGTCAAAATCGACAGTTTGTATGGCTTTTATACGGAATTTAACAATATTGCTCTACATTCAGTTTTTAAGGTTAAAAATGAGCAAATTTCAGCCGTATAACCACTGAGCGAATTTTCTCCAAGTTGAAAATTGGTTCTTTTGCTTGGAATTTAAGGTTGTGTATTTTGATCAATCGTTACAAAGATACCCTAAGTTATATGTAGTTCAGATAAAATGCTACTTAACCATTTAATTAGCCGTCTTCACATAAAGTGTTTTGATTTGACACTGAGTGCATAGAATTCCATCATGGAAAAACTTGTTATTCATGTTAATACTTTTTTTTATTTGTTACAATTATATTACTTTTGTATCATAAATTCTATCATAAAAGATGTTCCTTTCAGATTAGCTGGAAAGCTGTTGAAAGTCGTCAGCATACTTTAGTCTACTCGATGGAGATTTACTATTCATTACTTTTGCTTCTGAGTATTCAATACAGACTTATTGAAATTCAAAACCTAGGCCATATAGTACACTTAATGCTTGATAAAAGAAATTAGTTTTAATTAAACTTGATTTAGTCCTTAACTTAATTTCCATTCTAACACTTTACTCTGATTATGGCTCTGAAATATA